AGAAATCTTACAATAGAGAAGGAAAAAATTACCATCAAGTCAGTTTTGTGTCTTCGTGGCCCACTAAGGTTGAATAGAACGGCCCTGTCGGGTCTTCCAGAGGGTAATCTTTACAGAAACAGACTGCCCTCTCTTTCTTCTCTAGAGCGAGCTGCTGGGTTTGAATCACTGACCTTTTGGTTAGCAACTGCGTACTTTACTGCTTTGCCAGTGGGCCTCCTCAAAGCTAAAATAACTTTATAACTTTCATAGAGAAGATTATAATACATGTTTAAAGGCTGCAAAAGCCTTATTAATAGAAGAGAGTATATGTAAGGACCAGAAAACTCCAGATTTTAAAGATATTGCATCTCCCCAGAATTGGTAAATTAATCAATGCAGTTCCCATAAAGAGTTCAAGAGCCCCCCCACACACACACACCCCTATGGAATTTGCTGTTAATCCTAAAGTTTTCACTGAAAGATCAAAGAATAAAAGTAAAGACTCAAATAATTTATAGAAGAACAAACCTCTGCCATTTACCCTCAGAACTGGATTGACCACCCAGTTTTATGTGCAGCACCCCCCTCCTCAGATGGTGTTTTGCACTGTGAACTTGAATCACTTAAGAGTGGGAGAGCTCCAGACTTAGTTTTCTGTGGGCAGACTGGCGTACAAGGGTTGTAAAAACCACCACTCATTCTCAGCCGAAGCACTTCTCATTTTGGGTAGTAATATGTGAGGGGTAAGGCAAGGCACTAGAATTGTTTGTGAAGAATCTTTTATCATGGAATTATAAGCAAGGAAAAGGGAGGTTATCCCAATCATTAAGAATGTTTATTATAGTATTGTTTATAGTTGTAGAAGAAAATAGAAAAACCTAACAGCCCACTAATAAGTTGTGGGATACAAAAAGGTTTCTCCCCAGGTAGTTCCCCATATTTATTGTATGCCCAGCCAAGGACACTGCTTGCAACACATGGTAAATGACTGTAGCACACTTGGAAGCAAGCTGCTTAGAAGTGATCTCCTTGAGGGCATCAGCCATCCAGGGCAATCAGACTACTGTCTGTGCCACCACAGGTGGGGCTCTCTCCCTGCTGATAAGAATAGTGGACTGCTTTCCTGAAGGAGAGCTCAGAATAGCCAGCTCAAGGACAGCTCAAGGACAACTACGGTTAAGCTGCCATCTTAAATCTAGGATCCGCCCATCTTGTCACATGTGTAGCCCTAATCCCTCCTCTTCCTATTGCTTGTACACCCCTAGATCGTCCCCCTCCCCTTGCTGTATTGCCTATGGTACAACCCCTTCCTGTGACGTATGTTACCTGTAATCAGGGGGGCTTGCACGCCCCTAAGTATATATAAGCCTCTCTTATTCTTGTCTCCCACCTCCACGTGAACCACCAAGAGGGGCTGACCATAAAATGTCATGCTACCATAAAATGTGTCTGACTCCTTTAATCTTCTCTCCTACCTTCCCTAATCTGTATGACTTTACTATAATCTTTATATATTATTGCTGTACAATTGCGCCTACAGACCCCCCACGATTGTCAAAGGCTGGTTATTCTGACAATAAGTGAATGGCTAAATTGTGGTGTACTATACAACAGTTTTAAAAATTAGAGCCTTTTGGACATAACCAAATACCTCGCAGGATGAGTTGCTGGGTCTGAGGAATTAAGAGTACAATCTTGGGGAACACCAAGGTCAATTGGGATAACATAGTTCGCACAGACAAGGTTCTGTGTCCTACTTGGGTGACTAGTAGCTGGTGTCTTAAAAGCTCATAAGCAGCCACCTAGGGTGCATCTATTAGTCTCTCCCTGACCTAGGGTGCATCTATTAGTCTCTCCCTGTCCAGAGGAAAGAGGAGTGATAAAAAGACTATATGGAAACAGTCCAATGGACTCATGGACCACCCAAGCACCAGTTTCCATAGCTCTGAGACCAGAAGAACTAGATAGTGCCCAGCTACCATAACCAACTGCTCTGAGAAGGATGGCATTAGAAGGTCGTGGGTAGAGCGGAAGAAAAATGTGGAACAAAACTCAACATCATAAAAGAAACTGAGCTTACTAGTTAGATAGAGACTATGATTCTGTGTTACCCACGAGGTCTGGAACTACACTTGTTCCCTCCTTAGAATAAACAGCCATTTAAGATCAAAAGGCAGCATTACCCAAGGACAAAGTTTAGAGGATTGGAAAGGAGGAGGAATGGAAACAAACCGAGAGGAAGTAGTATAAAAGTGGTGCATTGAGAGGGTTGTAATGTATGTGTTGAAGCAAAATGTATATGAATTATTGAATATTAAACTGAACACCACTTGTACTTCCAAAAAGTTGGGGGAGAGTACTCACTCAGGGGTCACATGACTAGTTACTGTGACAGAGTCTCATTAGTTACAGGAACTGACCAGCTGCTGGAAGAGTCATGGAAATAACATTGCCACAGATTTCAGTGTCTGGTTTTTCAGAAGTGGATAGCCAGGCCCTCTTCTCAAAGCACCTCTGGGTGGATTCTAAACACTAACCTTTTGGTTAGCTTCAGTGTGTTAACCATTCACACCACTCAGGACCTCCTGAAATAAAAGAAGAGAAACATTGATAGTCCCAAATTTGAAATACATTACTTTTATCTGAGGAAAGGGGAAGAGATGTCACAATATAACTGTAAGCTTATACCAAATTTTACAAGATTCAATTAGTCCAGGTTGACTAGAGAAATAAATCCAGAGACACTCAAATGTGTGTAAGAGAGAGCGTTATATCAAAGAGCAATTGTATGTTGAGAAAACATCTCAGCCCCACGCAGATCAAGTCCACAAGTCTGATATTAGCTCGTATGTCCGATACTAGTCTATAAATTCCTCGTCTGACTCACACAGCACATGCAATGATGCCGAATGCAGGAAGATCATAGGCTGGTGGGTGAAGAGTCTTGTGGATCCAATGGTGGTGGACACATTGCCAGGGCTCTGGCTGCCATCAGTGTGGCTTGTCTGCAGGAAGACGATGGCTGAGAGAGAGTGTGACCCGCCTCCGGGAAGAGAGAGAGGAAGTTCCCAGAATCCTCATGAGAAGGTCATGCCCACAAGAAGGCATCATCAGGCTGTGACCTGATTGACAGGCTAGACTCCACCCCTTCACTCTTAATATACTCAGGTTGACATGAGATTGTGTAACTACCACAAAGATCAAGAGATCTACAATGATCAAGATGTCATAAAAATGCTATAATGTTGAAAAAAGAATAGATGTTTTTTAAACGTATCCCACACATTTAATAATTGTGAGAGAATTATTCACCCCTATCTCACAACTTTCAAGGTTGTGAGCAAAGCTTCCACCACAACCTAATGTACTGTCCCATTGGAGAAGGTTTTAAAGCTCTAAGCCAAGATAGTTTTTCAGTCAAAAAGTTAGTTTCATACAAGAAATAAAATAATCCTAAATAGGATTACTGAAACTTTGAGTTCAGTAAAATGCTTACTGGCAATGAGGATTTGGGATTTGGCTTGGTTTGCTTGTGCTCTGTTTTAAGAACTTCATTTATATACACTTAGTTTGTTGATCTTTTAAAATTGTGGATGTAAATTGCTTTTTCTCAGGGTAATGGGTTGTGGGGTGTGTTAGCCCAGGTAGACTAGAGAAATAAATCCAGAGATACTCATATTTGTGTAAGAGAGAGCTTTTTATCAAAGCGTAAATATATATATATATATATTTATGGTTTTCAGCATTTTTAATCCCTTTATGCATTTTCTTTTTTTTAAATCGTTTTATTAGGGGCTCATAGAGAAGTTATATATTAAGAAAACATCCCATCCCAGTCCAGATCAAGTCCATAAGTCTGATATTAGCCCTTATGCCTGATACTAGTCCATAAATTCCTCTTCAGATTCACACAGCACATGCAATGATGCAGAATGCAGGAAGATCACAGGCCTGTGGGTGGAAAGGCTTGTGGATCCAGTTGCGGTGGAAGCATTTTCAGGGCTCTGGCTGCCATCAGCTTGCTTGTCCACAGGAAAGTGAAGCAGAGAGAGTGTGTGTGTGTGTGTGTCCTGCCTCCAGGGAGTAAAAGAGGAAATTCCCAAAATTCTCATGGGAAGACCATGCCCACAAGGAGGCATCAGTCAGGTTGTGACCTGATTGACAGGCTAGACTCCACCCCTATAGCTTATTTATCAAGTTGACATGAAATTATGTAACTACCAATCTGCTGTTTAGAAACATACAAAGGGTCCAAAACCAGAAGTACTTCCTGAGCATAGAGACATTTGTAGGCTTGTGTGTTGAATTCATGTAAACCGTATCATTTTCCTTTCTTCTTGAACAAGATCCTTGACCTCTTTTTGCCAGATGATTGCTATTATGTCTGTGTTGCCCTCCAGGGTTGGGATATTCAGATGGTGGGTTTGTGAGGGAAAATTACTGGTGTCAGCCAGGCTGCCCAACTCACTTGACACACAGAAAGTCGTGACCAGAAAGGGAACTTGGGTAGCGTAAGGAAAAAATGAATACTAGAAATGAAAGCTTCGTATGTTTTAGGGGACAGAGGATTAAATTAATATCATTACCCAGTAGTGAAAGTGAAATATTTTAGAGCTTTTTTAAACTTTTTCAGCTTTTCAACCCTTCAATATGAGGGGGCTTCAAAAAGTTTGTAGGAAAATAGAGTGAGAAGATAATGAAATTTTCCCACAACCATTGTCAAGCCCCCTTTAGAACTCCCCCCCAATTTGCTCTCAAAGAGATTAACCCTATAATGCCTGAATTTTTAATTTCAGGGGGAAAAATTTATGTTTTTATTCTTTACTTTCATAGTTATCAATATATTAATATATGCATTTAATTAAATGTTATGAAAATGTCACGCTCGGCGTTATAGGGTCTATGTTCTTATTTAAATTTTTATTTTGATTATTTTTGGAAGTACTCAGAGTGATTGTGCTTTGATTTCTGGTACTTTAGGCCTATGCTTTCAATAACCTATTCTCTCCCCTAAACAGGTGATATTGACTATAGCAGCGTGCTGCTTGGTATGCTAGTGATGCAAGATGTACAACTTGGATTATTTATAGCTGTTATGCCAACTCTTATACAAGCAGGAGCAAGCTCATATGCCAGGTAAAAGTTTATACTACTTCATTTTACAATTTATTTTTCTAACTTCAAATCATTTGTTTAGAAAGATGTTTCGTATCTTGTTCCCAAAAAATCATTTAAAGCGTATAAAACCGAACATGGACTCTGGAGGAACACCACCTGGGCTCAAATTCTAGCTCTGTTACATAATAGCTCTTTAACCTTGAGCAAGCTACTCAGCTCTACTCTTTCTTAGTACAGTGAGGACAGTAGGACTTACCTTCTTCGTGGGAGGCTTAGGTTCACGTCCCAGCAACAAGGTCAACTGCCTGTTATTTGGTATTGTATTGGCTGACCTTCTTGTGCTGCCTCCACTTATTTTAGTGCAACCTGGCTTGTTTCTATGGTACTGACCAGGTTTGGGTGGCGTTTCCAGAGTAAAACAAATCAGGAAGAAAGACCTACTTCTGAATAACCAGTTAAAGCCCTATGTGTCACAACTTTACATCAGCCAACAGCACCAATCATGTGCTTAAGAGGACTGAGTGAAAAGATACAAAAGTGCTTAGAACAATGCTTGGGACTCAGTATATAATTGTATGGGTTAGGTATAATTGTGATGGTTGTAATTATTATCATTTCCCCTGATCCTTCTTTCACTTCTTCCTTGAAAATCATTCCAAAGCCTAAACTGCAAGTTTTTGGCTTCACATGGAGAGAGAGGCCAAGTAGGGCAAGTAAATTTATGCAAAATTTTGTAGATTATGCTGAATATAAAAATACATGCCAAGAACCAGCCCCCCAATACCATGCAATTGCAAAGTATAGAATACTGTTTTTGTATTGTCTAGTCTACACTGACTCATAGTGACCCTTTTTGACAGAGCACCCCATAGTTTCCTAGAATTTAATAATTACCGGAGCAGATCTCTGGGTCTTTTCTCCTATAGAAGCTCTGGGTCAGTTCTAACTGTGCTTAACAGCCAAGCACTTAACTGAACATAGACGGAAAGGATAGGGAAGACTACACAATCTAAAAACAAATGCATGTTGGAGAAAACGATCAGCTTGAACTGGTTTTAAGCAAATATACTGTATCTTATGTCTGTAAATGCTGTATTTTAAATATCCCAGGAGCTACATCCTATTACAGGGATGATACTATGGGTCAAAAATTACTAGACTTCTGAAAATTCCTTTTGGAGCTAGTTTGAAGCCCTAAGTTCAGTCTCGCTGACTTTATTTTTTCCCAATTTGTGTACCTTTTGTTTATTTTTCTTGCCATATTGCACGAGGTGTTATTTCTAGTACTTAGAATAAGTCAATTTAAGTAGATATGCTTACCATGTTCTTGGTTGTAGGATGAAGGTGTTCAGTCTTTCACCAGTAAGTATGATGTAACTTGTTTTTGGTTGGTTGGTTTTTATAGATGTTCTTTATCAAATTGAGGAAGTTCCCTTTTATTCCTGGTTTTCTGAATTTTTATCCTAATTTGATATTGGATTTTGACAAATACTTTTTGTGAACTAATTTAGATGAGTTTTTCTTCTTTGGTCTGTTGACAGGATGGTTTATACTGGTTGATTTTCAACAGCTGAAGCAGCCTGGCTTGCCCAGAATAATTCTGCTTCATCATGGTATCCATACACACATCGATTATGTTTCTGGGCTGGATTTACTAATATTTTTTAGGTTTTTATTTCTAAATTTATGAGATATTTTTGTTTGTCATTTGTTTTTGTCTTTTTGTGACTTTGGTATGTGTCATTACAACTAATACTGCACTCATAAAATGAGTTGAGACGTGTGTTTGCGCCTCTGCAAAATTATGTTAATTCTATAAATATCTTGTAAAATGTTTCAGTAAAACACATGGAACTTGATATTTCTTTTTCAGAAACTTTAATTACAAATTCCATTTCTTTCATAGTTATAGGATTATTTATTCTGTTCATTTCGATTGAATTTTGGATAAGATGTATCAGCATCAACTCAGTGGCATTGAGTTTTATTTCATTGTTGTTGTTTTTAATTTGGTGGTTCAAAGGAATCGATCCATTTTGGATCATTTTCTAAGTCGTCTATTTTATGAATATGAAGTTGTTCATTAATTATTTTATTAGGGGCTCATACAACTCTTATCACAATCCATACACACATCATTTGTGTAAAGCACATTTGTACATTCATTGCCCTCATCATTCTCAAAACATTTGCTCTCCAC